CACGTGCCCGCGGGCCCGACCCCGCAGGGATGGCCCGTGGGCGCAGAATTGGAGGCGGTCGCGAACGGCGCTCTGACCGCATCCTTGAAACAACTCGCCTCGCTTTTGACCATCGCGGAGGACATCTTCGCAGAACTCACCGCCGAGTTGACCACCGTTGCCGATCGCAGCAGCAATCTACGACAGAGATTGGACAAGGTCGAGGAGCGTCTCGCCAGCGTCGATCCCAAGAAAGTACCAGTCCGTAAGTACCGATTCGTTCACCTTCCCCGACTGCATTTCCGGTGCCCCCTTATCGATGCAGGCGGACAAACGGCGCTCTTGTCTGCCGGGTATACAGGGTGTCCCTCATAACTTATAGCTTTATGGCTACTTTTGCTGTTTTGATGATTAGTGGTCTTTTTATGTGGAGGAGCTTTCTTCTTAATGAGATGTGTAGGGTAGGATATTAGGGTGTAGGTGGAAGCAGTGTAATAGAACGTGGTAATGTGGTGGAATCTGCAGCTGGTAGCAAGGTCATATGAAATTATTTTTCATTGTTAGCTACTTGACTGCAAGGACATGAAAGCTTTTGAGTTCAGACGATATTTAGGAGTCCTCAATGTTTCGGATCCCAAATCCTTAGATCTTCAGTGGTCTACAGACCTGAATCCCTAGATCTCCAAATACCCACATCTCTAAGTCTTCAAATCCCCAAATGGCTAAGTTTCGACCCCCAAATCCCTAGGTCCTCAATGGTGGTCTGGAGTCCCACATCCCTAGATCTCCAAATACCTACATCTCTAAGTCTTCAAATCCCCAAATGACTAGGTTTCGACCCCCAAATCCCTAGGTCCTCAATGGCGGTCTTGGAGTCCCATATCCCTAGATCCCCAAATACCTACGTTCCCAAATCCTAAAATCTCGCAATTTCTAAGTCCTCCTCATACCTAGATCACTGAACACCTATGTCCTCAAATACCTATCTCAAAAATTCTCAAATTATTTTTAAACCACCATGTATACGCGTTCCTGGAATTTTAACAACGTTTGCAAAATCGATTGATGCGGCGATAGTTGCTGGTTGCACTCTGAGGTATTTGTATAGTCATGTTAGAGACATGAGATCGATATATGGCTTACTATCTGCCTTCAGTAAACGGAAATATCAATAAAACTTATATACACGAGAAACTATAGAGTTAGATACTCATTCAAGTCCTCCGCCATTTCTGGTTAGGTTACATTTTTTCTTAAAATTGCAAATGGATGTAAGGAAACATGGAGTTAGCGAAATTTAGGAAAATGAATTTTTGTAAAGGTATAAATAATTACCAAGGCGAATAGAAGTTAGAAATGGTGATTCTACAGTGGTCCAAGGTTAAATAACAGACGCAGAGATTAGATTAATCCACATCTAGGTTAAATAAAAGTGGAGATTATAGCACAGTGGTCCACTGTAAATAAATCATCTCCCTTATAATCGTACAAACATAACCACTTACATCCTTATACTTAAAAAGCCAAGTGTCACCTAATGAAATACACTTCAAAATCCGTTCCATCGCAAAAGTATCGTTCAGACTTTCGATACAGAGCCCCGATAAAATCGTGATAAGTGTGCTATAGTAGGGTCGCAGGGCTTTCAAGTTGAGCACCCTTGGGGCTCGAAAACTTCTTTATTGAAACACGAAGGGTTCGAAACAAAGTGGTTTACCTGATTTCACGAAACACGTTAAACAGTTTCCCCTTTCGTATTTCTAAATCGCTGTTACGATTCGTAAACATCCGAAGAAATATTCGCTCGGTATAACTGTTCATAATTAAATTTAACCGTGTAACTCGGGTACAGGTACAAAGTAAACAGAGCAGGTTGAGGGATAAGAAATGGCTTGAGTACATATTCTATGTATACGGATGTACATGTGTGGTGTTAGAAATAGTCCGTTACAAAACACCTACTTACCTTCTTTAAATAACGAGAGATGTTTTTATTTTTGAAGAAGTGAACGGAGTTCTTGAATGTGGACATGTAGGTATATTTGCATTTTGACGTTTCAGTGCTTTTGTAATGTTTTTCTTAGTATTGCAAAGGTCTATAGTTGGGAATCTAGGGATTTAGGATGATAGATAGCTTTGGGGAATTGAGATGTGGGGATTGGGGGCATAGGCGGTTAGGGAGATATGTAGTTAGGGCCATAGGTAGATGGGGATATAGGGATTTGGAGATATGGGTATTTGGGGACATAGGTGGTTAGGTACGTAGATAGTTAGGAACACATAGGTAGTTAGGATCATAGGTAGATGGGGACATAGGTAGATGGGGATATAGGAATTTGGGGACATAGGTGGTTAGGTACATAGGTAGTTGGGGACACATAGGTAGTTAGGATCATAGGTAGATGGGGACATAGGTAATTGGGGATATAGGAATTTGGAGGTATAGGTATTTGGGAATATAGGTGGTTAGGTACATAGGTGGTTAGGTACATAGGTAGTTAGGATCATAGGTAGATGGGGACATAGGTAGATGGGGATATAGGAATTTGGGGACATAGGTGGTTAGGTACATAGGTAGTTGGGGACACATAGGTAGTTAGGATCATAGGTAGATGGGGACATAGGTAATTGGGGATATAGGAATTTGGAGATATAGGTATTTGGGAATATAGGTGATTAGGTACATAGGTAGTTAGGGACATAGGTAGTTGGCCACATAGGTTGTTGGAACATAGGTAGTTGGGGACATAGATAGTTTGGGATATAGGTATTTGGGGACATAGGTGGTTAGGGACATACATAGGTAGTTGGGGACATAGGTAGTTAGAGATATAGGTATTTGGGGACATAGGTAGTTGGGATATAGCAAGCTATTGGGATTTAAGGAGATAGGGGTTTGAAGACATAGTCATTTGGACATATGAGTGTTTAGGAATATATGAATTTGAGAATGCAGCCACTTGCAGATATAAGTACTTGTAGATGTTCATAGTTGGTGACATAGAAATTTAGAGGTATATTTGGAGACGTATGAATTTTGTAATATAAGGATTCAGAAATGTAGAGGTACATGTATATAAAGATTGGGTGATATAGTAGTTTATGTACATAGAGATGTAACAGTGTGAGGACTTCACACGTAGGCATTTGAAGATTTGTATATACATATATGAATTTATGAACATAGTCATTTGAGGACCTGAATATTTTACTGAGTAATTTACTGGGTCATCTAGGATATTGTAACATTGTTACAATAACTTCTAACCTAACTTATAAATGTTAATACTCGCCAACATAAAAATCTTGATACCCAAAATTTCCAAAACACCTCAAATCCATAAAAAATCCCCAAACTCCTAAAAATTACCAGGATTAAACGAACGCCCCTGAATGGCCAAATAATCAGCAGAACAATGTTACCGAAGTTTCACATCCTCTTTCAGCAATCCAATTAAGGCATCGTAAAGCAACGAATTCTGAACAATCCGTTAATTACATAAAGCCGGTTTCAGTGGCGTATCAACAGCGAGCGGGAGAGGAGGTATCGTTAACGTTTTCCCGGTTTTATCTGACGGAAGCCCGTTGGCCAAAGAACGCGGCAATAGAACAAGGGATTCTTTGTAAGATTCTGGCATGAGCTAATCCTTCGTCCTCAGGTGAAACTCGCTTTCGGCTCCGAGATCCGTTTCCCACGGTGCCGCAGGTAACCCCAGGCGTTTTCCCCGTAATGTGGGTCTCTGCGATCTCCATCCCTTTCCCCTCTGTTTCTTCAGCCCCCCTCTAGCCCCTGACCCCCTCCTAACCTGTCCTTTCCCTCACCCAATCTTCGACATGGCCTGCCTGCTCCTTCGACCGTCCTTGCTTATCTTTCTACAGCGTTTGCCGATTCTACAGGATATTGCACGGTTCACTTGCTGTTATGAGTTGTGATTTTTTTTAGTTTTTTGGTTTTGGGGATTTTGGAATGTTTTTGGGAGTTTTAGGTTGTTGAGGGTTTTTATTTTGCAAGGGTGATTATTTGGGAATATTTTATTTGGGAGAGTTTGATATTTTGGAATATTTTCACTTTGGGAGTTTGGTGTTTATGAAGATTTTTGTTTTGGGAGATTAATATTTTAGGGTGGTTTCACTTTGGAAAATTGGTATTTTGGAATATTGTCACTTGGGAAGTTTGGTGTTTATGAAGATTTTTATTTTGGGAGATTTATATTTTGGAATATTTTTACTTGGGAAGTTTGGTGTTTATGAAGATTTTCATTTTGAGAGATTAATATTTTAGGGTGGTTTTACTTTGGAAAATTGATATTTTGGAATATTGTCACTTGGGAAGTTTGGTGTTTATGAAGATTTTTATTTTGGGAGATTTATATTTTGGAATATTTTTACTTGGGAAGTTTGGTGTTTATGAAGATTTTCATTTTGAGAGATTAATATTTTAGGGTGTTTTCACTCAGCAAAGATCAATATTTTGAAATATCTTCACTTTGGAAGATTGATATTTTGGAACATTTTCAAATGAGAAGTTTGGTGTTTATGAAGCCTTTCATTTTGGGAGATTTATATTTTGAAATATCTTCACTTTGGAAGATTGATATTTTCGAATATTTTCAAATGAGAAGTTTGGTGTTTATGAAGCCTTTCATTTTGACAAATTTATATTTCGGAACATTTTCACTCTGCAAAGATTAATATTTTGGAATATTTACACTCTAGAAGTTTGATGTTTCCAAACACTTTTATTTCAGAAGTTTCATTGTTATAGTTCCCCATAATTTATACAAAAGGAAGAAAATAATTAGTCTCCAAAAGATTTGAGTTCGTAAAAGAACACAGCTTCGTTAGAAACTTCATTCCAACGCAGCTTGGCGTCAAAGTCAACGTCGACGTTAATTAAAGACCCTTCTCGAACGAACACCTTTGCGCCGTTATACCGCAAAGATCGTAAAGTTGAGGAACTGGTCGAAGTATTTATTGGCCGTGGCCGACGACATTTTTTTTCTTGGAAACTTTCAAAGTTTTCTCAAACTGCAGGATTGCATTTTGGACCCTCTTTGTTTGTTCGCACTAAAATATTTGCTTTAGGACGTTTTTTTATAGAGGTTAGTTATTATGTATTATTACACATGTACTATAACATATGTATTATAACACATGAACTATAACATATGTATTATAACACATGTACTATAATATATGTATTATAGCACATGAACTATAACATATGTATTATAGCACATGAACTATAACATATGTATTATTACA